CCCAAAAAACGCCAAGCTTTTGAATTGTATAGTATATAATGTTACAAAAGCTTTTTATTTCAGATAAATGCTGATCTTTGGATCTTTCTATTCATCAAAGAATCCCGAAAAAATTTACTCAACTGTTTTAATTTTGATAATAATAATAATAATAACAATAAATGTTTCTTGAACAGCAAATCAGCATATTCGAATGATTTCTGAAGATCATGTGACACTGAAGACTGGAGTAATAATGCTGAAAATTCAGCTTTGATCACAGGAATAAATTACATTTTAATATATATTTAAATAGAAATCAGTTATTTTAAATAGTAAAAACATTTTACAATATTACTGCCTTTGCTGTATTTTGGATCAAATAAATGCATGCTTGGTGAGAAGTGACTCTAAAAAAAAAAACATTAAAAATATTACTAATAAACTTTTGACTGGTAGTGTATGTATCACACTCATATCACATCTAGTTGTTTTGGATAAGAATAAAACGTTGTGACAATATTGTGTCTTTTTTAATCTAAATCTAGATTTTTTCGCATTGGCCCATGGAAACCTCTATGAACACACTTGACTTGTCACTTGATTTGTCCAAAAAAGTGCGGAGGGCGAATTTACTTTTATTAAAAAGTGTTTACGTCTGTTTTTATAGTCTATGGTTTACGTATTCTACACTCATGGAGCGCACACAGTCCCTATCAAGCACTTTACCGATTCAACTACTCTCCTGTCCTCCTCCTGCCTGGCTCTTTGGCCCGCATCACTCACTGCAGAGCAAGCCTGTTCTTGATAAATCTGCTGTGAAAACGTGGGAAAAGCCGATGAGGAAAGGGCCTTTCACACAGGACGCGGAAAGCGCTGCGCTGGCCGCTGGGTTCAGCGCAACCCTTCAGATACAAAGATTTGCGCTAAACTGGCCAGAGCAAAGTAGGCGGAGTTTTCAAAACTTTTAACAGGAGTTCTGTAGGTCTAGTCATTTGTTGTTCCAACTTTTCGGTCAGCAGCAAAATATGTATCTGTCCCGTGCTAAGAAGCGAGCGATAGCACTAGCCCTGCTAGTAAGAAGAAGAGAGCAGCAAGGAAGAAGAGGCTGTGGGTGCATGAAACTCTTAGGTCTTGAAGGCTTGCTAAGGAGCTTCGTTTGAATGCCCCATTTCTATTGGCCGCGCGGGTAAACGTCACAGAAGGTAGCGGCAAAAGATGAACTATTTTGAACTTTGACTTTGAACTTTGACTTTGAACTTTGGTCGGCGCAGCAACAAACCGCCCTTGCGCGGTGCAAGCCATTGAAATTAATGGGTTTCATAGCGCCACGCAGCGCTTTCCTCGTTCGGTGTGAAAGGCCCTGAAGAAGTTGGAGTGAAGCGATCTTTATATAGGCGAAGCAAAGTACTTCATCGCTCCGTCTATAGCGCATTGTGATTGGATGGTTTACGCTGTCACTATAGGAGACAAATCAATGGGCCACTGGCTGCTCGCTGTCCCTGCGTGATGGTCCTTGGCAAAAAACAACCATTCTGTCAGCCCCTTAAGTGCGTCGGCCCACCGGGAAAATGCCCGGTATGCCCGATTACCAATCCAGCCCTGGCTCCACCCACTCGTTTACAATCACCAGAATTCTGATGCACTTCACCTGTCAGCACTCATCAGTCTCAGTATTTAGCCACTTTCCCATCACCACCTCAGTGTCTGGTCTTGTTGTTCACTAGCATGCATCAACTTACCTGGCTGCTTACCTGCTCCACCTACCGGTTCGTGCATCGTTCCCAGTCATCTGCCATCATCTTCTGTCTTCATCC